CGGGGTATAAATCTGATTAATAAATAATAATAATAATAATTAATAATTAAGGGGGGAACCCTGAAGTGTCACTGAGCTGGCAAAAGGCAGGTGCTTTCTTCCATATAAGCCAAAGAGGAGGGGTATGAGCACAGACTGGAAGGAAGAAAACCATCCACTTCTTTTTTTTTTTTAAATACATTTTTTATTCTTTTACTCAAAAGTACAGTCAAATGCCTAAGAAGGGTTGAACTCTCCCTGGGTAATAATGGACACACCAGGAGAATTTACAAAATTCCGCATGGAACCACACGGCTGGAGCAATAATGACAGTCATCTAAAAAGACCAAAGTCTGAGTCCAGCAGTGGCACCTTGAAGACCAAAAAGGTTTTATTCTGGGGATAAGCTTTCGTGTGTGCACACGCACACTCCTTCAGATTTAAAAAGGTAGATAAGCAGCCACCGTATAGTTATTTGTGCAAATTAAAATTCTGTGCTATCATTTCCCTCAAAAATAAAAAAGAGTGATCTCAGGAAACATACAATGAAAAGAAAGAATACACAAATATACAGCTTCCACATGGACTAAAATGCCAAAACCGCTTCCACTGGGGGTATTGCATTTTATCCAAGTCAGTAGGTGACTTAGAGTGGCCCAATCTTTACGGAGAATGTTTGTGTTTTGAGCTCTCCACAACTTTTAACAATTTAATTCTTAGATGTGTCTCGTTTGTCTGAGTCTCGTGTGCCTGAGAGCTGAGTCTGAGGAACCACCGGGAGCTGGGAGCACAAAACCCTTAGAGCATATTTACTACACTTTTACCCCACCCTCCTCCTCAACAGGGTCTGAAAGAGGTTTACATCATGCTCCTCTCCTTTATTTTATCCTCACAACAACCCTGAGAGGTAGGCTGGTTGGCCCTCGGTGAACCAAAAGCAACAAGCACAAATGCTCGGGCTGGATCAGGCCAACGTTCCTCCTCGGCAGGAGGAGGAGCCCGGCAGGTGCCTCAGGGTTTTCACAGGCAGGGTATGTAAGATGGCGGCGGCCTTCCCCTGTCCTTTGTCCCCACCGTTTAGTATTTGCATATATTTATTATTTTTATTTCCTTCATTTATACCCCGCCTTTCTCCCCAATGAGGACCCAAAGCAGCTTACATCGTTTGCCTCTCCTCCATTTTATTCTCACAACAACCCTGTGAGGGAGGATAGGCTGAGCATGTGTGACTACCCCAGGGTCACTCAGCAAGCGTCTGCAGCCGTGTCAGGATTTGAACCTGGGTCTCCCAGGTCCTAGTACAGCACTTTATCCACTCCACCCCATTGTCGCTCTCTAGAGTGTTCTGTCTCTAGAGACAGAAATTCCATTAAGGTATCACAGCTGCTCTCATTCGATAGGCCTCTCCTCTCTCTGAATTGGTGTAATCTTTTTTCAGACGACATAAGCCAATGATCAAACCCACAAAGAAAGCTTAAGAATAGTCTGGCCTGGTTTCTTGAAAGCAATCCTGAGTCTAGACTGCTGGCAAGCTGCTTACAGCTTCCAAAAAGGTTTAGGAAGTCCAGCCGTGGTGCTGCCAGGGGGAGGCAGAGCTCACCCACAGGCTGCCGATCCGGATTAGCATCTCTCAGTCACCACAAGTTCCACACCGAGGTCAAAGAAGCCTGAGAAAAATGATCTTCCCTCTTTCCCCCTCTGCACGGCTCCGTCCTAGAATGTCTCCCGATGGTCCTGAATATCGTTTGATGCCAAACAAATATTATCCTGTCCATTTTGACCTGGATGTATGGCTCACATCTCATAGGTAGTGGTAGGACTTCGAAGAAGCCTTGTTATAAACAGAAAGCATTCTCCTTGCTCCCAACTCAGTTACAAGTCTACTGCGGCTATTGAACATGAGGACGTTTTTCTGATATAGGTGGATGCATTTGTATATAGCGATTATCTGATGTCTGTTGTAACCATCAGAAGCCCGTAGCTTGACAGTCCTTGTTGCACGCCTGAGGAAGGAGGCAACCACCGAAAGGTCTTTGGTATTTCCTTTATTTTAGATTTGGGCGGGTACCCACGTTGGTCGGAAGCAGCAGAACAAAGTTTGAGACCAGGGGCACCCTGAAGACCAACAAAGTTTTCTTCTGGGTAGAAGCTTTCGTGTGCAGGCACACTGCTTCAGATCCCCGAAGATATCTCAAGATATCTGAAGAAGTGTAAAGGTAAAGGTTCCCTTGCTTGAAAGCCAGTCGAGTCCGACTCTAGGGTTGCGGTGCTCATCTCCGTTTCAAA